GGTGGTGCCTTAAATAGAAGCCTCCCCCAGTAGAGGGCATGGCCAGCAGCTATTCAAATTCACCCAGGCACTCAATTACAGTCAAACAATGTCCCTTTCTCACCCTATCTCAAGCAGCCAGGACTCTGCAACAACTAACAACTCAGAACTCTCCCACACACTCCCAAACACAGTCCTCCCACACAATACCCTCAGCTAAATCACCTCAGCTGAAAGCAAATAAAAAACACTCACCCCTCTAGCAGCTTTATCTCCTGCTGCTTCTCAGAACTGAGCTGGGTCAGCTCTGCCTCTGGCAAGGTGCTGCCTTAAATAGAAGCCTCCCCCAGCAGCTATTCAAATTCACCCAGGCACTCAGTTACATCGCTTTTACATCAGTTACATCAAGCTTACATCAAGTACATCAAGCTTATAACACTTTGCTGCAATGGTCATTCCCCCCCCCCCCAAATCTGGAGTATTACAGTTTGATGAGAATTCCTTGTTAGAAATTCCTCGCCCCTCTCACAGAAATAAAGTTCTTAGAGTTTTCCAGTGGAAGGAAATGACAAACAAATTTAAGACTCAGAGAGACACTTGAGCACTGCCAACCCACATCCGCCCCATATCTCCCCATCAAAAAGTGGTTGAAAATATATTCAGTGTGGTGTTATTATACTCATATTCCCTCTACCCGACATGCACACAAGATGGAGGGAATGGTGAGTGACAGCCAATGAAATAAAGCAAGGGGTGGGAAAATGCTAATATACATGCTAATAACATCACAGATTTTTATGAGCCACATATTACCATGGAGGCATAGAGTAGGTATCGGTAAGCTGTCCCTCCTCGTATTTCTTCATTTGACTTGTACTTCAGGCCTGGTAGTATTTTTTGGGGGCCACCATACATGATTTGAGCTTGGTTCAAGGGGAGTATAAGTGTTTATTTATGCTTCATTTTAAAAATTCTAGTCGGTTCGTTCATGTAAGACTTGACAGGGTTGCTCTTCTCTTTTTTTGGCCCCTCCTTGAGACACACCTCTTTAGCTAGAGTTATCAGCTCTGGGTTAGGAAACGCCTGAAAATTTGGAGGGTGGAGCCAGAGGAGGGCGGGGTTTGGGGAGAGGAGGGACTTGATGGGGTATAATGCCACGGAACCCACCGTCCAGGGCGGCCATTTTCTCCAGGTGAACCAATCTCTGTCTCCTGGAAATCAGTTATAATCTCAGGAGATCTCCAGCCATCAGCTGGAGGTTAGCAACCCTATCTTTAGCAAACCCTTTTCTAAACCACCACCACCACACCCTCCTTTTCTCCCCCACCTTCCGATCCCCAGTGACCATTCTTCAGTTCTTCCCCCTATCTTCTCTGTTTATTGTAGTTTGTCAGCCATCAGTGTGGATGTTCTGTGATTTCAATACCCTTCATCCATATTAGGAAACTGAGCTGATGAAGTCATTTTTGTTGATTTCAATGGGAAACAAATTTCAGGCATAGGTTGTATAGACAACTGTTCTTACACGGCAGGCTCAGGGAGGTGGTAAATTGGGCACGTCAATGAGATTTCCCCACCTTTTCTGGGCTGGGGAATGAGGACATCAGTGTTCCTACAAAAATGGAGTGTGCAGGTTAGGGGAGACAAACCCACCCCTTAGCTCTCTGCCTGCCATTTATTTCAGCACTTTATGGAGTGTGCAGGTTAGGGGAGGCAAACCCACCCCTTAGGTCTCTGCCTGCCATTTATTTCAGCACTTTCTCCCAACCCAGCTGGTATCAGAGTCTGGCTAAGAGAAAATGTGCCTCAGGCAGCAGAATGAAATAACATAAGGTGGGGAGCAAGCAGGGTTGGCGCTCCTTACGCGTGTGTTCTTGGTTTGTTTTTTATTTTTGAAAAATAGCCCAAAATCAACACCACAACCTTACCCTAGTCTTGCCTATAACCGAATCAGTGGACATGCTTATTCGGACTGCTTTGTAAATTTAGTAAAGCCATCCAAGAGATCTGATAACCCTGAACCAGTGGTTCTCTGTCACGTAGAGATGATCCAACCTTTCGTCGTCACTGATCTCTCTTGGCACACATTGCAAAGGATTCTGGGCCATGTTCCAATATGCACATTTAGTTCGTTCAGGGTGCTGGACCTCACCATCATCTTGAAGGAAGCAAATGTTCACCGTACAAGACTCTGGTACAGTTGTGAGTCATCAGTTTCAGGGAGGGTTGTTCTCCATTGCTGCTCTTCTCATAGCACTACTTCAAAGAACCTCAGAGTTCCCTGGAAGAGAGTGTGAAAAACTTCTATAAGGTTGGTCCTGAATGTATGTGGGAGATGTGAGTCACCCAAACATCCTAGTTCATTCTTGATAAACAGTTTCATGAGACAGTGTTTTTCCTTGAATCTTAATTTCTCCCAGTTCTGAGTCATCCCTACTGATTTAAAGAGCTTTTTATTTTTGTTCAAAAGTAGAATTTGCTTTTCATTTGTATCTGAAGTAGAATTTCTTGTGGAGGGACCGATGAATAGAAACTGGCGTGTGAAGGAAGTGGGTTACTAGGAAACACCCTCTCTGAATGGTTAGTAAGAAATCCATGGGCTTCATTTGTAACAATCTTGGCTGATGCGGCATGTCAAAGACGTGTGTGTATTCATACATGCACACCCACCCCTCGCACTCTTGGTAAGCACTCGTGTTTCTGTTCCAGTCTCTCCCTGACCTTGTACATGCAACATGTCCGTGTGTAGAGTCAAGCCATTTGGAAGGATCAGGCATGCCCCAGACCTACCTAGTTATATTTGCTCCAATGTGGTCACCACATGCACACGAGTAGGTTTTATCACTATGATCAGGTGCACTGGTTTTCCAGTGTTCCCAGTCATGGGGATGGAGACTATTTATACATCTAGACACTGATCCCATGTTGGGGCAAATGCATGCAAACAGGGCAGGGTCAGTGCTGTGGTTATGTTGTTGTTCTGCAGTGTGCTCAGTCCCACTCCCCCTGCTCACATTGACCTATCCCCTGAATGGTATGGGTCCAGAGTTCCTCTTTCACTAACACATAGGTACATGCAAGCACACCCCTCCCTCAGATCTTTTGCTGTCACGTGCACCAGCGCATTCCAAGCCACTCGCACCTCTGTGCATTCATTCACACCGATAAAACACACATCTCAAAAAAGCCTTACTTCCGTGTTCTGCCCCTTTCCCCTTTTCTCATTCCCTTGCCCCCTCATCTTTCTTACAGGGCTCTTTTTGTAGAAAAAGCCCAGCAGGAACTCATTAGCATAATAGGCCACACCCAACACTAGAAACTAATTAGCCTATTAGGCCACACCCCTGACAGCACAGCTCATTAGCACATTAGGACGCACCCCCATGTTACCAGAAGTGTGGTTATCCAGCCACACCCACCTTTTGCTTGTTATTCTGTTTACCTTGTTTGTTGTCAAAAATCCAGGGCTTTTTTTTGGTAGCAGGAACTCCTTTGCATGTTAGGCCACACACCCCTAGTGTAGCCAATCCTAATGAGTGTCTGCTGTTGGGTGTGGCCTATTATGCTAATGAGTTCCTGCTGGGCGTGGCCAACTTGGGAGCCAGCTGGAACTCCATTCCTGTGCGTTCCTGCCCAAAAATAGCCCTGCTCACACACACACAAACACTTTCTTAAGACAAATGAGACATGGTGAGTAAGGTTGCCAGCTCTGGCTTGGGACACACTTGTAGATTTTGGGTGGGGGGGATCCTGGAGAAGGCGTGGTTTGGGGAGGGGAGGGACCTCAGTGGGGTACGATGCCATAGAGTCCGCCCTCCAGAGCAGCCATTTTCTTCAGGGGGACTGATCTCTGTCGCCCGGAGATCATTTGTAAAAGTGGGAGATCACATACCATTCTGGGGTGCCACCCGGAGGTTGTGAACCCTACTGATGGGGAATCCATATTCATGTGTAAAGCAGAGGATTGGGGAGCTCTGTTCTTTAATCCGAAATACTATGCAGGTGTGAGGAGTTAAAGCCTTCCTTTCTGCCTCCCTTTATTCCACTGCACTCATTAGCATTGAGGGGGGGGGTTGCTCCTGGCTCCCTTCTTGTATTGGAAGAGAAAATGGTTCACTGAGATAAAGTGAGGGGAGGAGGCAGGGTTAGTTCCACTTTGTGTAATAAACAAGAGCCTCCATCATCTTCTTAATACATGAATGGTATGAGCATGTAAATCAAGACACACAGATTCCCCCCACACATACCTCAATGTCTAGACTGGTTCTTCTTCTCCTTCTCAGAAAGTGATTGTGTACCTGCTTTTTGTCTATCTCCCTTTATATGTGAAGATCCCAACTAATCCCCATTTGTTCTTTTCCGATGAACCCCATTTGTCGTGTCTCTTGGCCCTGATATTGCCTTTCCTATCTCCGGATCCATGCCTGGCTTCCCCACGTCTCTCCATGAATCCAGGCCAATATCCTTCCTTCTCCAGCAATCTCAGTGCATTCTTAACTAGCTTTCCCTTTGCTGTTTCAGTCCTTCCTCCAACTTTCACTGTTACCACCAGTTTCTCCCTTCATCTTTGGCAGGAAACCTGCTGCTCCCCACTGGCTCTGTCTCGCGCCACTCAGCTGGGTAGCAGGGGAAAACTGTGGGGAGAAATGAGGGGCACTGGCATTGCCAAAGATGCCATGCTGTCACTCCCAGCACTACCCAGAAGTGATGTAATTGCATCACTTAAACCCATAAAGATTTGGGTGAATCAAGCAGAGCTCTTTTTGTAGCAGGTACTCATTTGCATATTAAGCGACACACCCCTAATGTAGCCAATCCTCCAAGCGCTTACCGTAGCCCCTGTAAGAAGAGCTCTGTAAGCTCTTGGAGGATTGGCTACATTAGGGGGGTGGGGCCTAATAGGCAAAGGAGTTCCTGCTACAAAAAGAGCCCTGGGTGAATGGTAGAGTGGTCCTGGGGATGCGACGACATCACTTCCAGATCGCGCCTCCCCACCAAGGTGAGTTTCCCTCGGGCTATCTTAGAGCCAAGCCATCCATCCTCTCTACTCTTCAGCGATCCTTGTTGCTGTCTAAGGTCCTCCATAATTCTTGTGTATTATCTTTTATGATCTGTGCTCTCCCAACCTCTGCAATCCTCTGTTGCATCTCATTTTCTCTTTTGGATGCTTTGGTCTCTGCACCCAGAGATGGCCACAAGATACAGGAGAAGAAGCCAGGGGTTTTTGTTTTGTTTTGCTTTACTGTTTGGTTTTTTTACAGAGCATTTTCAGGAGTGATGAACCGATCCCATGGGTCAGTCTCCACCATGAGCGAAGGGTCATCAAACGGAACACACTTACTTCATGTGCTAAAATATTAAAGTAATAGGATTTGCCCCACAAATACAACTCTTAAAATATACTTCGAGCAAGGTAGAGTTATTGGTTTGGCTGTTGCACAACTGACAGTCTTTGTTTTACCTCTATGGAAGTTATGTCTGTGTCATTCTACATAAGATAGATAGGATTTAAGTTATAAAACTAGGTAAGATAGAATCTTAAGATATGAATCCATACAAAATAGAATTTTTAAAGCTGTAATTCTAGGTAGGGGTAGAACCTTAAGTTGATTGAATTTTAAGTTGCAAATCTAGATAAGATAGTATTTTAAGTCATACATTTATAATTAATAAGATAGAATCTTAAAATGATAACATTTTAAGTTGTATGTGATAGAATTTTAAATTGCAAATCTAGAAACAATAGAATCACTTCTTGTCCTTTTCGGCTAAGATCAAGTGTAGTAGAATCCGACATTTATAGAATTTTAAGTCATAGATCTACGTATGATAGAATTTAGATAAGATAGAATCTTAGCTGTAAATACAATTTGTAATTAATCACTGTACAATAGTGTCAGATCTCTCACACGATGTTTGGCCTAATATGAATTATATTTTGGAACATGACCTCATATGGTTTTTTTTTTGCATACAGGAATTCTATAATTTAAAACGTATTTATTATGAATGGAAACGATTGAAGATAACCCAGACAGCTTGTAAATTTCTAAATGGAAAAAAACCCACCCATGTTACTTTAGAAACAGTCAGAGTACATGACGTTAGCATTATACAAGACAATTAGAAATATTTTCATTTCCTCTTAGGAATATTTCAGGGTATATTGTTTTAAGGCCAGTTTTTCCTATGTGGTGGGGTGTTAGTTGAAATCATATAAGATATATATTTATCTGAGTGTTACTAAACTAGAAATATATATGAGGACTACTAGCAATATACGTGAAGAATACATTTATAATGGTTAATGGGATAATCTGCTCCAGTCTACAGCAGTGGTAACTACATGATTATACCCTTCTGAGATAGCAATCCTAAACAGGTCTACTCAGGCTCCCACTCTGGTCTATTCAATCGAGCTTACTCTGAGGAAGGATTCTTAGGACTGCAGTGTAACAATCTCAACATTTTATTTCTGTAGGATTTTAAAATGCTTCTGCAGAGAGTTGACCAAACTCAGCCAATGGATGGAGAAGCCATCATCTTATAAAGAAGTTAAAATAGCAGGGACGCGGGAGAAAACCTGCTGGAAAGTACTTTTGCTCTAAGTCCTTACTTTGTTGTGGATTTGTACCCTCTAAGTACCATGGTTATGTTTTGTATTAACCCTCTGTTTTAAATAAAAGTTTATTTAATTTAAGCAGATTGGTTATTTTAGCCAAATAGTTAGTTCTACACAAATAGGATTGAAAATACTAAGAACTGTTTCACCCATTGGGTGGGATTCAGTCAGCTTTTTCTCTCACCCTTCCCCAATTCTCCTCCTTACTACAGCTTGTGTCCTATATAGCTTTTGTCCATGCAGGTCCCATGTGACCAGCATAGCCATTGGGTGCTCCTCCTTTTTATCCAAGAGATAAAGGTGCCTGGATCCAAACCATTGCTTGGTTGCAAACCCAGGTTCCCTTACGCATGTTCATGTGGTAGGGAGCCACATCTATTCCTAACAAATCTCTTTTATAATATATGTATTGGCATGTGCTTGTTGCATTTGCACAATGTCGTTTTAGAAAACCATAGGCATGCACACAAAATATTCAATTTATTAAGCAACACTGTTTCACTGCTAAGCATGCTAACTTGGAAATAAATGCCACTGGATTCAATAGACCATCTAAGTGGACATGGTTACAAACAAACTATAATCTGCAAAGCAACTTTATAGTTACTTGACTTTAGTAGAACCTGGATATTTTCCTATCAAAATTATGGAAACTGAGTATAAATAACTGTGCTCTAGACTGTGTCTACTGACTTCTCACAGCTTGTCTGGATCAAGGA